CATATTAATAGGCCAATCGACCAACAAATAAACAAAGTTCAGTACAAGCCTTAATAATGATAATAATTATTATAAATTATAAATTATAAATGTAACCTTAGAAAAGATAATAATAATTATTTTAAGAAAAACTATTAAGGTAGTGATTGGATATATATATATATATATATTATTTAATAAATTGAGTTAATTTTTAGAAAAAAAAAATATTGATTGAGTGGAGATTTGAGTGTGGTTTTGGGTTTGTATTTAAATAGTATTTAAAATATAATACCAATGTTGATGTAATGTAGAATTACGAGACAATGATTGAAAATTCTAGGTAATTAAGATTATGTGAGTTGATGAATTAAAAAAGATGTAATATGTGACAATGATCGATTGTTATTATTTAATTATATTGATATTATTGAGGAGAGTTAAGTTGGATAAAACTGAGTTGATATTTGAGTTAAATAGTGTAAACAAATTATCAAGTCGCTCAAAAACGAATAATTTAGGGCATGTTTGTATACATATATATTCGCTCAAAACGAGTTTTTTTTTTTTTTGTTAATCATGGTTAATTTTGAAAAAGTTGGTATGATTAGTTGTATTTTGAGTTTATATTAACTAATATTTAAAATAAAATATTTAAATTTAATCAGATGTAAAAATACTTGAGAGATGATGTGATTAGTTAAAATTGCGTGTGAATTAATGAATCTATATATATATAATTGCTGGCATATAGCATTTAATAAAACATTTAATAAAACCCCCATTCATTTTCCCGCTCATTTTTTCAATTAATGTAAAACCGTTACATTTTACATTAATAAAGTGTAATAATAATTTGAATATAGTTTATTCACTACTAACATTAATTGATTACAACTTTACATTAAATAGTATGTGGAAGTTACATACTTATAAAAAATTGTATTGCCTTTTTTTCTTTAAAATACTTTTTCTAAAATGAAATATTTTTGTTCTTTTTAAGCGATTTTTATCTAATATTAGTTAATTGGCATGGGTGTCATAATTAAACATCTTAAAATCACATAAACAAATGCTATAACAATGATAAAAATAATTGTAATATTTTTCTAACTAATTAATTGTATGGTCCCTCTAAATTACTAAATTATATGACCTATTAAAATTTATGGCATCAATATAAAGATTCATACGTAAGTTAAATAAATTATATTTACATTACACATTTACATGTAGTCAAAATTTAAAATGTAATACATCAATTAACTAATATAAAATTTTTATATATTATATACATAAATATAATATATAAACTTTTATTTTTATTTGTGCATGTGCACAGGATGAATACTAGTAGTGAATTAAAGTTGATGTGATAAGTAAGAATAGTTTGTTAATATTATTTAATTATATCGATAATATTTAAAAAAAAAAATAAGATTGGTTAAAATTGTTAGTATGAGTTAGAATAATTGATAACAAACATATCCTTCGGTAGCCCCTTAAATTTTTTAAAAAAAAAAACAAATATATACAAAAAAAATTAAAAGTAAAAAATCCCAGCAACAATGTACCCAACGACGTCGTGTCGGACTTGCTTCTCCTCTCAGCCTTCCTCATTTCTTGTCCAATCCCTGTCTTCTGATTTTCCCCTTTCCAGTATCTTAAACCTTTCCAATTATTGCACAAATACGCTGATCAGATCGCTAATTGAGGTGAACATCTCGAGACAGAAGAAATGGTGATGGTGACAGCCGTACGAGATTACATAAATCGCATGTTACAGGACATTTCTGGGATGAAAGTCCTCATCCTCGACTCTCACACGGTGCCTTCTTTAACTCACGGGACATTCCTCGTCTATATAATTTGTCGTCGGTTTCCTTTTGTTTTTGTGGATCATGTTTTTATGCTCTCATGACTGAATGATTCCTAATCAGATGTATACTCGGGTGTATTCGTTTCGGAATTCGAGTGACATTTAAAGACTTTTTAAGATTTAAGATTTTCTAATGCCATGAACTAGTGAGGATATGCTGTATTTCATTTGGAAAAAAATGGTGATATTAATTTTTTAGTTCTCAGTGTGGAGTCTGGGGACTTACTATGGAGCTATTTCGTTCTGATATTGAGCTTAATAAGAAGATCACAGTCTGTGCAATAGGAAATTTGAGTCATTTTGACACTTTTCAGGGTGTACATTGTGGTAATAGTCAGAACACAATAAAAAATTGCTCGATCAATCGATCAATCACAGCTTGCTATCTTGGATTTTTTTTTATTTAATTTTCATTGTTTGGTGAAAATTTAGTGTCTTGTGGAATTTTGATTATAGGTAATATTGTTTGGTGAAAAGTTATGTGTCGTGTGGTGAAATTTGATTACTCTTTGTATTATTATTTCTTTAAGGGCTTCTCGTGAAACTTAAAGTCTAATTTCATGAGTTTGTTAATTTACACACTTACGTAAATTTGATATTCAATGTATTACAGGTTAGTATCGTGAGTGTAGTATATTCTCAATCGGACCTTCTTCAGAAAGAAGTTTTTTTGGTGGAACTTATAGACTCCACTTCCATGTCTAAAGAACCTATGTCACATCTTAAAGCTGTTTATTTTCTCCGTCCTACGTCTGATAACATTCAACTAATGAGACGTCAGCTTGCTGCACCTCGGTTTGGAGAGTACCACCTGTGTGAGTATTGTTATAGGAATTAGTTTGTCTTTTTACCTCTGAACTAGATCGAGCGCCTTTATCTTGTTATTAATGAAATCTACTTTGGAAGAGTGATTGAAGTGCTTGTTGTTTACAGTCTTCTCCAATATGTTGAAAGATACCCAACTTCACAATTTAGCCGACTCAGATGAGCATGAAATAGTTCAGCAAGTGCAGGTAATTCATTGATTCCACAAAATTAGCTTCTCATGGTTTCTTTTGAAGAAGGGCAATTTAGTGTTATTCACATTGCCAGGAATGTTATGAGTGTAAACAATGCACTTAACTTGCTCAACATGTTGGCTATAATAGTTTAAATTGGGAATCACTTAACTTCAGTTGATTGACTTATCAATCGAAGTTGAATAATTTGGTTCCTGTCAACAGGAGTTCTATGCCGACTTTGTTGCGGTTGATCCCTATCACTTTACCTTTAATATTGCTTCAAATCACATGTATATGCTCCCGGCTGTGGTAGATCCATCGAGTTTACAGCACTTTTGTGACCGAGTGGTTGATGGAATCGCCGCCATTTTCCTGGCCTTGAAAAGAAGGCCCATTATTCGTTATTCACGAACATCTGATATTGCAAAACGGATAGCACATGAAGCTTCGGTAAGAACACCCATAAAATAATATCGGTTGCCTGAAACCTAACTGTAATTGCCAAAGTTTCCTATTACGGATACAACTGCTGACCTATTTGGTACTAGCGTACGCGCTCATGTTACCTGTGGGCTGTACATTTTATAAAGAAAGTAAAATCAGTTGGTACCATATTTATAATTTAAACATTTAAAATTTGAATATAACTAATAATTAAGAAACAATTAAATATATAAGTAAAAACCATAAATAAAAAGATAAATAAATAATATTTTTAAGCAAAAAAGATAAAATAAAAAAGATAAATTCATGTGTCGAAATGATAAATGTTGTCTACTATATTCAAAAGTAATTTTATCAAATTATTATCAGTTTTATAACTTATGCTACTATATTTAATTCATTCCTGATGATTATTATATGATACAATATAAAGAAAGAAATCCAACACATTAAACTTAACAAATATTTAATCAGTCAATTTATCAAATAAATGGAAGAAATTTAGTCAACAACTCAAATAAAATATATAGATAAAATTTCCAATAAAAAAAAGTAACTTTCTATTGTAAGTGTAAAAATTTTGGTGGGAAGTATGCCAATTCTAATCATAGTATTCCCTTCCCTTGTATATGTATACAGAAAAATTCCTCCCTTTATATCTATATGTATATACATATATAGAAAGAGATATTCTGGAATCCTTTTCTGATCGGAAAGTTACTACGGAACTGACTTTAGTTTCCTAATTTGCTGATATTGCAGAAGCTCATGTACCAGCAGGAAAGTGGTCTTTTTGATTTTAGGCGATCGGAAGTTTCTCCACTGTTGCTTTTTGTTGATAGGCGAGATGACCCCGTGACTCCCCTTTTGAACCAATGGACATACCAGGTTATGCTCTTTTTTGATGGAGGATATATTTTTCTTTTTCTCAAGTTAAATGTATATAAACTGATTTGCTGTTTTGTCTGTAGGCGATGGTTCATGAATTGATAGGCATTCAAGACAATAAGGTGGACCTCAGAAACATTGGAAAGTCATCAAAGGATCAACAGGTTGTTCCTCATTTTAAACAACAATGCCTTTCTTCTTTATGCTCCAATTCATGGTGAATTTCAGTTTGTTGTCTGTTCTCTCAGGAGGTTGTGCTGTCTTCAGAGCAAGATGCCTTTTTCAAAACAAACATGTATGAGAATTTCGGAGATATTGGTATGAATATTAAAAAGATGGTGGATGATTTTCAACAAGTTGCCAAAAGCAATCAGAGTATTCAAACAATAGGTTTGCTTTTCAGTCATATGTGCTCTGTAGTGTGGATATGTTCAATCATATTTTCTGTTTTGTGGTTGCGTAGTCATTTTCACTTTTTTGTAGCTGGTGATGGGCTCAGAAATATTAGCATATTTGAATTTGTGCAGAGGATATGGCCAAATTTGTTGACAACTACCCAGAATATAGAAAAATGCATGGCAATGTTTCTAAGCATGTGACACTGGTTACCGAAATGAGCAGGATTGTTGAAGAACGGAAACTAATGTTAGTGTCACAAACGGAACAAGAATTAGCTTGCAATGGTGGCCAAGGAGCAGCATTTGAGGTACAATGAGCTTCATAATTGGTTTGCCTATGCTCTAGAAACTTGAGATTCTTGTTCACTATGATTCAGCCGGAATTTATCACTATATCTTACCGAAGGCTAGATTTATAGATGCCTTGGCATGCTGATAAATTGCAGAAAAATGGAAATGATGTCAAGGTGGAAGTAAGTAACCAATATGTGGGAAAACTGTATCTGAGTGGTTACAAAATTTTGTACACAACCAATTGTAGAGAGTTGCATAGAAAAGAAGTTCACTTTAGATTCAGAAACATTTCTGCATATTTTATTCCAAAACAGTAAACTTCAGAATTGAGATTGTTTAGGTTTGGGATGCGATCAGTGATAACGGACATCATGCTACTTATCGCCTGGTAAATTATGTTGTACTGTATAACTCTGTGCAGGCTGTTACAAATCTTTTGAATGATGAAAATATCTCTGATGTTGATCGTCTACGCCTGGTTATGCTCTATGCTTTGCGATATGAAAAAGAAAGTCCTGTTCAGCTGATGCAGTTATTCAACAAATTGGCAGCCCGGTCTCCCAAGTATAAGCCTGGGGTATACCATTATTAAACAGGAAAAATAATGCTTCTTTATATGCACTAATGCTGAGTACATGCATGACATCCACTCTGTTGGATTTTACAGCTTGTGCAGTTCCTACTGAAGCAAGCAGGTGTCGATAGAAGAACTGGGGATCTTTATGGGAACAGGGATCTGCTTAATTATGCACTTAACATGGCTCGTGGTCTCAAAGTTGGTTTATGAGTCTTTGTATCTGTTTCCATTAAAACCTGTATAAACTCTAGGCAACAAAAAATTTTCCTTTTTTTAGGGGGTGGAGAATGTGTATACTCAGCATCAGCCTCTGCTCTCCCAAACAATGGAGAGCATTGTTAAAGGCCGTCTGAGAGATGTGGACTACCCTTATATTGGAAATCATTTCCAGCAATCTAGGTGGGAATTTTGAATTCAACTCTTATTTGAAGCTGTCTGATTATATTATTTTCCTCGAAATCTGGATTTGCTCATTTTTCTCCGCCTTTTCTATAATTTGTTAGTGGCTGATATTAAACTGTGTATATTTTCTGCAATAGTATCATTCAAAATATGTAACTGAGTTTCTCATTTCCTTTTCTTAGTTTTTTAAGAAAATTTCTGTTTACATTTTTATATTGTCCTGACTTGGTTTTCCTTACGTTTAAAAATGGGTTTAAACTTAAATGATGGGCTTCCTTGAGTTAGTGGAGCAAGGATGGGTATTATATGCATAGAGCCATGTCTACTGGATCATAGTCATCTTTAAATACATTTATTTGACAGGCCACAGGACGTGATAATATTCATTGTTGGCGGGACTACTTATGAGGAGGCACGCTCTGTTTCTCTACAAAATGCTACTAACACTGGAATTCGTTTTATACTTGGTGGTTCTGCTATCCTCAATTCCAAGAGGTCTGTATTTTTTTACATAAATGTATTTCCAGTGCCAAACTGTCTCATAATTTCATTTGTTTCAGATGTCCTTAATTATGTCAGTTTTCATGTCGATAAATTACTTCCATCTATGTGCATATGAAAAAGTATTTTTATTTTGGTGTGTTTGTGTGTGTAGATGTATACAAAATTATCTCTAAGATTTGGCCTGATTACCGAAAAAATAAATATTGATCTCTTATGAAAGAAACAATAATAACAATAATAACTATGGTAATAATACTCTGTAGTTAACTCTTCATTGTACTTTATTGTGGTTTAATGTATGTCTCCAGTTTGTGGGTTGCCTTAACATTTTCGACTGGTGAATGTGTAGGTTTCTGAAGGACCTCGAGGAAGCTAAGAGAATTACTCGGGCGAGTAGTAATGGGATTTGAGTACCGGACGGCACGCCATTAACTCCCAGAAGAGGTGTAAGATAGCAATTTTGAGGATACGTGTTTTCCTTACTAGAATCTCGTGTTGTTCTTGGTTGAAACTGTACAGAGTCTCGCTTACCATTGATGTTTATAATATTGGGCCATCAGATTTTGTTTCACCAAGTAATTATTGAGAAACCGATTTTATTTGATAAAGGATTGTAGATATAAATGTACAAGCACTTGTTTCTTGCTGCACGTTCATACATCATACTACAGCTATCTCGTCATGCAATGGGAATTCTTGCTCTCAAAATTTTTTGCTGGTGACTACATTTTCTCTTTTTCATTTTATTTACCTTTTGTTGTACTATATCAGGGACAATCAGTGCTTCGCGTTTTGGTCGTAGCGTAAATAGCGTAGCGCATTGCGTAAGTTATTCGAGCAATTCACTTTTAATGCCAAAAATAATACTCTCTCCTATTTTTTTTTAAATGTCATTCTAGCTTTATCAACTATTTGCTAAATAAATGTCATTTTGGATCTTTTGTACATATTTTTTCATTATTATCTTCATTTAGCTAATAAATACATCACGTCTTTTCATAATCACTCTTCATCATTTTCTCAAAACATTTATCTCTATCTTCATTAAATAAGGTTATTATTGACAAAAAAAATATTCTTAATAAATGTGCAACATTCCAAAACGACATTTATTTAAAATAGGAGGTAGTAATATATAACCATACAAGCGAACAAATAATTAAAATGGTCTTAAACCATAAATTAACTTTGACATTGAATCTAAAAACATGACATTCAAATATTAATTCTTCAAACAACTAAAGTCTTAATGTTTAAAATAAAGACTCAAAATTTTAAAATGATCGGTGTTATCCAAATGAATTTAGCTATCGTCGTCAATTCTGTCAAAGTTATGGAGAATTTCACTACAAAAAATAATTGGTACAATTTCACCAAATTCTTGCATCTCCTCATCATTTAGAGAAGAAATGAAGTGTTCTTTCCATTCCACTTTTGAACTTAAGAAACATAAACATCACATTATTCTAATAGTCCAAAAGGTCAATTATAGCTATGTTGATATCAATTTTTAATTTGTTTTCAAGATAAATACGAAACATGATCTAATAATCACTCAAATTCGCCATGGGAGAAATTACTCAATTTTGTGCTATACTTTTTTTTTGTGTATTTTATTATTTTATTTTTTATTTTTGCCTATATATAAGGATTGCCTAGATAGCGTGAGAAATAGCGTAAATAGCGCAAAATATAGCGTAAATTGCGTAAATAGCGCAAAATATAGCGTAAATTGCGTGTGTGTGTTTTTGGAACCACGCGAAATTATATACGCTATGTCGCTTTTTTGAGTAAAAATGCGCTATAGCGCGCTACGTGCGCGCAAAATAGCGCTTTTAAAACACTGGGGACAATACAAACAGTGATAGAGTTGGAATTCTGAGGGCAACTCCGCTATATTGCAACTTTACTTCACAGTATAGCGGAAAATTTGTTCCAATGTTGCGCTATATTTTCGCACCACGTTGAAGATGTGTGCAATATTGCGCTACATGTAGTGTGGTAATATTCACCGCGCTACATTTTTTTTTTTTGATTTAATTTGATTTTTTTAAATGATTCTTACTTCTAAATTTTTTTTGACAAAATATACGTCAATAAAATAATATAATTTGTTAAATAGTTGTAAATTTTGTTTTGTAGGTGTATTTAATTATTTTTTTTTACTAATATATTTTATGTTGAGTAAAATGTAGCGCAAATTAAATTTTAGCATTCTTTACACTAGAGTAAGTTAAATTTTAGAGAAAATTACCCCCATACACCCTTGTTAAACATTATTTGTTCCTAATTACTCCTTAATCTTTTTAATGTCAACTATACCCCATAGTAGTACAAGATAATCTTTTTAGTATCTCTCTGTCCTTTTTTGAATTAACTCTCAATTCCTCTCGCCATCTTCTAAACCCTTCATGTTGCCCAAGGCCATTATGCCCAAGTCCTCGACATCTAGGTCCAGGAGGACCGCTGAGTCTGCCGTCGACGTCATCGCTAACGTCAAGAGATTCCTCGACGAAACCCAATAGGAGGTCGTGATCCTCGAGATCTGGACCGAGTTTAGGCACGACAACCCACTCGATTTTGACAAGTTCCTCAAGGACCAACTCGGCGAGTTCCTAGATCCACCAAGACGACCATGTTTTCAAAAAAACGGTGTCGGACCTGCTTCTGAAGTGGGTCATCATCGTCTGAAAGCCTGACGAGCCCAACCGAAGCACGCGCCCATTATGTGGTTGGGGCCACCTAAAGGACAACTGGATCAACATGGATCTGTCGTTGACGAAATTCGAGAGCAATTTAAAGCACCTCAACGAGCAGCATGCCAGAGGCACTTTTACAGGGTCAAGAACATGATGATGCCTCATGCAGATAACTCGATTGTGTATGTGAAGCCCGTAACAGGTCGGATCCAGCCGTATGCGAGGATGTTCATCGTAGTGCTTCGCGAGGGGATTGGCGACCAGCTGCAGACGTTTTCGACGGATTTTATAGGTGAGGATTTCGTGGGCGCGTGCGTGGGGCTTACGAGCGCTAGGATTGAGGGGAATGCTTGATTGGTTGTTAACGAAGATTGTTGTTGTG